TACGTTTATAAATGTAATACATTTTCTCATACCTGTGTGTCATGTATAGGGGAAAAACAAATTAACATTCGAGAACAGACTTATTTTGGTTATTTTACCATTTTTCTAATAAACTGTATTTAACCTCAATGGTTATTGTTATCTAACAGTCACTCATTCTGCTATTCTCAATGTCATATCTTCACATTTACATTCAGACTCCAGACTGAAAACAATTTTTTTTTCTTCATCATAAAAAAATAACATAATAATAGTCTATAAATTAAAATAATGCAAAACAATGATTTAAGCATGAGTGCAAATTAGATATAAGTCCCAAGTTTGCAATTTCGCCCATTTTGCACATGACATTACAAATTTATTTGACTAAAACTGCTGACTCTATTTGATTCCAGAAGTCACTTCATATGTGGTTTGTATCCCTGTACGTCGCAGCTACAAGAAATTTTCAACAAAAAAACCCATACCGTATGATGTTGCAAATTGCATCGATTATAAAAGACTTTACCAAAGTTGTGTCATAATATTAGTCTGCAATTAGATACATCTTATCACTCTTTTCACACAACTACTGAAGGATTACATCCTGAAAAAATTAGTGGTACAAAGTTTCAACAATTGTTTTGAGATGCTCATAATTTCAGAGAATTTCAGAAATAACTTTTGATTTACGACACAAGGTTCTTGTACCAAATGAACAGGGCTCTTGCGTCGGGCAAGCAACTCAACCCTTGACCCTGGCAGAAGTACTTCCATATTCTTTCACAACAGCTACAATGCTATTGGTTTTAGAAATATGAATTCTTGCAGAACAAAATAATAGATAGAGCAGTGATACACAGCCTGTTTTTTACTTTCCCAGTAAAGATGTCTCAAACAGGAACACAAGGCCTAACAGGAAACACCTAGATTTATATCAGCTTGTCCTTCGTGCATGTAAGATTCACAATCCTGTAATGTTCTTACATTTTTGCAGTAATGCTGCTTTATACTATGTTACTTTCGCACCTCTGTGAACAGACTTTGCTTGATCAGAGTGAAAGGAGTTCTGGTTTCAGCACAGAGGTCAGTGAAGTCTCAAATTGCCACCAAAGAAAGTTGAGTGTATTGTTTCTGCAGTCTTGACCTTGTTTAGTTTTTGGTGTATACATATAACATAAAAGCGCCATTTCAGTGCAGAGGAGGTTGTGGTGTCAATTACTGACCTTACAACACAACTTTATTAATACTGACACACCCCAGTATGGAAAACTATTTGAATTTGGCTCTAAAGTGTATTACTGCTGCATGGTCTACATCTCAGAATTGTGTTCATGGCAACTTCTTCTCTGCAGGGAAATCCTTGGAGATCAACCAGCTCTGCACTCAAATAGATTATAGAAGTCACATGACCACTCATTTCTTTTCATTCTTTTATGTAACTTTTCCAAATAAATAAAATTTCCAGAGTATTGTGCTAATAAACATTCAGCATGTTGTACCTCAGAGCATTAACACATTTCAAATGTGACATTTCATTTCCTTAGCACAACAATTGGGCGCTGGGTCAACTTCTATGGCGGCTAGCTTTACAGGGTGATATATTATCTGGTGTGAACCGGGTCAAGGCTATAATGGCAAAGCAGCACCCAACCGGCATAGGAGGAAATGGCAGAAAAAAGTATGAAACAGACAAGCTTTTAATTAGCACAGGCCCATACATGGGGAGAAAAGGAAAGGTGTGTAAGTGTGAGTACGGTAGGGCATCCCATATGTGTGTTTGTACTGTACACCAAACCTCTACCAGAAATCCTACATTTTTTGAATTGTTTGGCTATAGGAAACACACATGGTTACAGAAATATTCAACAGTCAAAAATATATAATCACCAGTATATAAATTCTGAGTAGATTGAGAACAAATACATCATGGGAGACCTGTAAGATGGCTGTGACTGTTTGAGGTCAGCTCAGACCACAATTCAAACAATAGAAGCTCCGGTCAGAGTGACAGATTAACACTCAGCTTGTGTTCTCTGTACAGTCTTGCTGACAGTCACATCACTTCACCTCCTCTGTCTCAGGAGCTGTCATCACCTCGCTGCTGCAAGCAGCTTGGCAAAATAACCCATAAGGCCCAATCATAACAGAGAGCCATTTGGTCACGACCTGTGCAGTAAAGGAGCGACACAGGGTTGTATTTTTCCTCCAAACAGAAATCCCACCTCGTTTTTCTTCTTTTTTTACGTGTTTCCGCCTCTGCAACTCCTCAACACCGCAGACCCTCCGGCTGATTTGAAGGCTCTGAGCATTAATCACACAGCCAGAGCGGAGGTGAGCAAGCAGGAGAGCAGCGACCCTCCCTCACCACCCTCGTGACCCCATTGTCCCCCAAACACCAGCCCTGTACCCTGATAAATTCACAGCAGGACTTTGACAAAGTCTGTTTGTCGTCCTTCCTCTCACTTCCTGTCTGATGTCATCACCACAGACAATGTTGCTGTTAATGTTGTCCATTAATAAAGGACAACAAGGGGATCTAATGGGACTGACAGGACATATGTGAGTGTGTAGGATAAAGAGTCAAGAGAAAAAATTTGTTGTATCTATGAATGAGAGATTCAAATGACCTTTTCAGTGCAAATGGGATTACCTATTGTTCATTTGGTTAACTATATAATTTTACATCAATGATTTTTCTATGATTGCTATTTGTTTATACTATCTTTACGTTACATGTGTATTTTATGTTTTTGTGTCTTTAGAAATGACATAAGAAGAATGAAACCATCTGGTATTCTAGTTTTTTAATCTATAAAATAAAGTACTTCATGTGAAGTTCCATCTCAGATGGTAAGAACTATTAAACCCCACACACACACAGTCAGTATCTGTGCTGCTAAAGTAGGTTTGTGGTGTAACATCCTGTCAGTGTCTAATACTGCACTGGTACAAAGGTGTCCTATTATAGTGGGGACATTAAAAACTGGGTCATAATGAAGACATTCCTTGCGGCAAAATGGTGAGTGACATGCTCAGTGCTCTTTGGCTGTTCAGTATAAACCTATGTTTTGTTAGTCTACATAACTTTCAACCTTGACCATCATAATATCACTGACTTCTGACCAAGTCCAAAGTTGCATAGTTTTAAGATGATAGTATGGATACTCCCTACGTGATGTATACAAAAATGGCCAAAATGGGAATAAGCAGATGAGAATAAGGCAAATCTGGAGTATGGTGTATGTATGTATTTTTAACTTGGCTGGTCCAGTGGGACTGTTTGTGTTTTGCTAGCTTCATTACATTCAACAACTCAACATAAAATCTGAAAATGGGCAGAACAGGTTGTACCATAATGAGTAATGTTTATATTAATTAGACTAAAATATAAGTTGCTTATGGAGGTTTGTGTATATTTGTGTGTCAAGAAACAAAGAGATGTTTCTTGAGGATTTGGAAAGTGATACAGTGTAATGTGAGTGAGCTCCATGTCCTTTAATGTTTGGAGCTAATGTCTCTGTCATGATTCAGTAGGATTTACTATCTTTGTCTCCACTGACACTGCTTGCATTGAGTTACCGTTACAATACACTGCAGGATCAGCTTGTCCTTTCATCACTAGCCTCTAAATATAATAGCTTACCAACATATATATAATATAACAGGCTGATACGCCTCCCATATGTGACACCAAAATGAATCCAAAATCTTCTGTATCCTCCTCCAACACACAGACATGATTTGTAGTGTATATGAAAAATAAATGGGTTTTAAATTTTCCACGCTATTTTGCCAGGATTGTGGTGTTTTTAAACACAAAAACACCAATTCAAACCAAACTAATTGCTAACAAGTACTGTATAAATGCACTGAATAAAAAACAGAAACAATATGCAACTAAAGCCATTGTATGGCTTATGTTACTAGCTGCAACCTCTCATCATAGGTGTATATGTCTATGAACTGTAAGAAGTTTGAACAAAAAGATTTTCTCTTTTCATATTGTTTTATTCAATTAAAACACAATCTAAAATAAGTGACATTGTGAGATCCACAATGACAGTCATCCAGGTTAGAGAAAAAGCTGAAAATGAACACAGTTTTGTGTTTTAACTTATTATCCTTATCCCTATCCCTTTATTTATCCCACAACCCCATCATGGTGATCCCTTATACGAATCATTTTGTTTTGGTTAGCTTAGAATGAGACATTTTTATCTACAGAGGGAGCGGATCCTCTTCAACCACTGTATTTCTACAGTAACTCAGAACCGACAAACCAAAACTGACATGTTTTGTGGCCACCTTTGCCTTTTTCATGCTTGGCTGAGTCAAGGGATTTTAGTTGGTCGCAATCTGAAATCTCACTGCTACATAATTTATGTAACCAATCAAGTGTCATTAGATTTCAACAAATACATTATCTTTCCCCTATATGTTGTTTATGACATTGTCTTGTCTTGTTTGATTGTCAAAGAAATGTCAGGATAAATGAGGCGCCCCATAATGAATCAACCAATGGGTCACTGCCTATTCCCATCTAGGTCATTTTTGAAGCTGCTTTGTAGCATTGTATTGGTTACGCCTAAATGTACCTTATGCAGTGTTATGTTCTCTTACTTCATGAAGGATTAGTTATAGGGGTCATGGAAATATTTTAAAGCACACTACACAAAGAAACAGGGCCATTGTCTTTGCCTGTCATTGTCTTGTCTTTTTTTTAAGACAAGAAGATGCTTCAGGTTTCAGTTATTGCCCTTAGGATATGGTCCAGGATGTAGTTCTCCTTCTTAATACTTTTCACTTGTTCACAAAATAGCAAGGTGCTTGACCTTGTTTTGGACCAATCACAGAAGACACACTTACCTATAAAGGCCCCTGAATACAGCCCATAAACTTCAAACGAACTGAGAAGATCTACAAGCCTTCAGCAGCAGAGTCAAAATTTAAGCAGAGAGATCCAAACAAATCCAAGGCAAAGCTGAAGAATAACAATGATTATTTTACTTTTACTCTCCATGATAGCCAGAAGTGATCAGCTAATGCTGAGTGAGTGTGGAAAAGAAGCAAGACGACCACAAGTCACTGACATCGCAGTGAAGTGTGGTACTTCATCCATTGGTCTCGCGATTCAGATCTGCCCTGTCATCTACACTGGCTACAATGAGACTCTACTGATCCTGAACCATATGCTGGACCCAGCCTGTAAAGCAACCCTTGATGATTCTGTGTCTCCACCTGTTGCTCGCTTCAATTTCCCAATAAATATGACCCACGCTTGTGGAAGCATATTCAGGACCACCAGTGCTACTGGGACAGGTATATTCTCAGACTTTTCCAACATCCAGTCGGTCAACATCAGCGGTGTTGTTCGGTCCAGCGATCTTACAGCAGGCACAATCACGTACAATGCTGAGCTTAAGTACTACTACTCCTGCGCCTATCCCTTAGAATACCTGATCAACAACACCCAGATTGATGTGTCTGCTTCCTCCATCGCAATCAAGGACAACAATGGAAGTTTCATCAGCACCTTAAGCATGGAGCTGTTCAGTGACAACACCTATACCAAACCAATGGTCATTCCACAGCTGGGGATTGAACTGAGGACCAGTGTGTATGTCGAGGTCAAGGCCACCAACTTGACAGGGCAGTATCATGTCCTGCTTGACCGGTGCTATGCCTCAATCTCCCCACTGCCTTCAAACTCCAGCTACTTCAACCTTTTTGTCCCCTGTTCAAAGGATCAGTTCACCACCATGATTGAGAATGGAGACAGCCAGAGTGCCCGCTTCCGCTTCCCAGCCTTTCGCTTCATCGAGCAGCAGAATGAGACTGTGTCCACCTACTACCTCCACTGCATTACACGGCTGTGTGAAAAAAGCACTTGCAGCGCCTTTAAGCAGTGCAACAACAGACGGAAGAGGAGCACCCTGGACACATCTGAAGAGGGCATAACCCAGACCTATACCATCTCTTCTCCAGAGATCATCACCAAAACCGAGAACAATGAGTCCAAGGAGCAGCCTCTTGTTGCCAAAAAACAAGGCAACTCTCCTGTCGGACTTGGTGTGGCTGTTGGCATCCTTGCCTTTGCTTGCCTTATTGCCCTTGGTGTTGCAGCTGTATTTTACAAAAGGCTCAGGAACTAAGGAGGCATTCATTCAATTCAGTGCAGCATATTGGCTCATGCACTTCAGTGCAGAATCTGCTTGCTTATTATACTTTTCTGGTGGAGGACAGGGTTCAGCTCATCATTGTGTCTGGAGATCTTTGTATGTCTATTACTGTAGCTCTAACTGTGTATCAGTCCTGGAAAGATAGTTGGGAGAATGGTGCATCTTTAGAGGATTCAGGTGATTTTGTTAGTGTAAAAATTAATTTTCCCAATTTAACAAAGACAAGCTTTTAAGTGTTAATGCATGTCTGCACTTTATAAGCTTTGAAAATAAATATACATAGGAAGAAATGGTAACTGGAGGGAAAGTCTAATTCCCATTCTTTATACGTGTAATGTTAGGTGTGTGGGGTGTTTTGAAAGTGAAATCAAAGTACCTTTCAAAGTATTATGTCTAATTTATTGAATTCCTCTCATTACTTTTGAGCAAATAAAGCTATTAAACTGAAAATGCTACATTGCCTGAATCCAAAATTCGTTTGTGTTTTTCACTGATTTACTACAGTTTCTAAACAAATCAATTCATGAATCATGTCTACAAAGCACCTTAGGCCCCACCACCCTTGTGTCCATCTCCCACAAACACACTAAAGTCATTTATTAACAAATCATATACTGAAGAGTGGGAACAGTACATTGTCTCATGCAGTGCCATTTTAAGAAATAGACTGTAGAACAACTTAGTTTCCTTGCTTGTTAACCATTACTGATTTTGATTCTGCAATCATCTACTGCTGTATAAAATAAACTAGGAAAAATAAAAATAAATGGATCAAATTTAAGAGTCTGTGTTGTTCATTAACATATTACATGCATATGACTGTCAATACGGTAGAGAGTTGTTACAGATCCTGTGTCAAAAATTTAAAAATAAAATGAAAAAAGGCTACCCACATATATATTATGAAAAGTGCATTGATTATTTAATCTAATCTGTGACTTCAGTACATGAAATATGGACAGATAACATTTACACTCAACACACAATTCAGAGACCGCAATATGGTAAGCTTACTGGATAGTAGGGAGAAACCACAGCACTTGAAGGAAACTCACACAGACAGAAATAACATTAAATCTATTCTATCTATATTTGAACTATAAGCTATAATATGTATTTACGTATATGTTCCATACACAAGTAGCATATAAAAGCTTTTCCCGATAGATCAAACTCCAGACAGTATTCCCTCACCCTCCTGTGTGAACGTCTCCAGAGTTTTCCCAGCTGGCCTCAGGCCCCGTAAGGCCAGTGTATATATCAGAGGAGGAAGCTGTCTGCCTATCTGGATACATGGAGCAGTATATCTCTGACCCCACTGGGCCACAACTGCCCTGCCTCTCTGTGATGTGCCCCGGAGGTGAAGGTTGATGAATGGAGAGAAGATGCTGAGCCCCCACATGAGTAAAGGTTTTTCTTTGTGCTGGTTTTAGTATTTTTCTAGTAATACATAGATTGCTAGTTTCCTGCTTCAGGTTGTCAGAAAAGTATAAAAATTAAAAACTAATGCCAGTGGTTTAGCATTGATAAATAACAATAACACACAAAGTTACAATAACATTTCTGTATGCCTTCTTGCAGACTTAAAATTGCTTAAGATACAGTCTTTTAAGTCAACGTTCACATGACATGTATAATTAAAAGCAACGTCTATTTTAAAATGTATTCTCCAGGGATGCACCAAAGTAGCTCAAACATCTGAAAGGTCACTTGCTGCCAAAAAGCAAATTATTTTTTATAAATTAAGATGCCATATCATATCAAAATTATAGATTATAGGCAAAAATAGAAATCATGAGGAGGATAATGAGATTTTTATAGTTCTTTGCATTGGAGAGGTTGCTACTATTACAGCTGGCACTCATGTACATATACGGTGGTTTTGAAGTGCAAAACACAATAGCATTTTTAAAAATAAATGAATAAAAGATACATAGTAATAAAGAAATCACAACACTTGACAAAAACAGTGACCTTGTAGACATTTAATCAAAAATGAGAATAGGAATGAGACGAGGCACCCACCGTTTGGGTTCGTGAAATGTGTTTTGTGAAAAAGTTTTGTTTTGTGTTTAGTCATTTTTTATATCTTAAATGTATATTTTGCTTTGTGTCTTTGATTAATCTGTTAAAGCCCCATTATGTAAATTCTCTACGTTACAATAGCAACTGACGGAGAGCTGCACCGGCGTCTTGCCGGAACCGGAGCTGGGCGAGTAAGTGTGTCTTATGGCAGAGGAGAAGAGACCTAAGAGGAAGCTAAGAATAAGTTGTCGGGCAAAAGTAAATCTGGGACTGACTTTTAGTCATTGGCAAGATCTTCCTGAAATAAAAGGCTCCATACAGACAGCGAGCTGGCTTTCTTTCTGTTGGTCTCGCTAGTTTTTGATCATAAGTAATGTAATCATCACAAATGCGTATGTACAGTTGTCTATATTTACCACAGTAGTATTGCAGTCTGAAACTGTGGGTGCCAAAATGCAACAAATCTGACATAGTGTTGCTTTAAATGTGGCTGTTTCCTGTTCTTACAGGCCACCACAGAGAGTCCCTGCTCAGAACTATACAACAATGATGTAATGAACAAAGTGAACTCAGTGAGCTGTCTGGTGTCGAAAACTGTACTAGCCAAAATTGTGAAATGTGCCTTTAAGATGCTGTGTTATCAGACAGTGTCTAACCTGTCCTGAGTTAGTTGAGTGGTTCACCTGCTGTGCATTGAAGCCTATTGCTGAGCTTTTACCTCTCAACTCAACTGTAACATTTGGTTTGCGTGTGGCCTTTGTTTTGTTAATGTATGTAACAGTAGCCATACAAACGGGCTTGATGGGGTTGATGTGTTGGTAAATGACGAGTACTATCTTTTTTCACTTTTTCAAGCTAACATTAGCTCAACCAAGAAACACAGATCGACCCAAACTGTTCTCCAGGCAGGTTAAAACATACTCCAAGAATGGTCTGCAAATATGATATATCTGTAGAGAATGAGTCATCCCATTCCTCACACACAGAGCTGTAAATGATGGGTAAGTCACTATTGTATATGTCTACTTCAGGAAAAGATATACAGGATAAAGTGAAATGGAAAATACAGAGTAGAAACATTTGGTATTGTTGAACAGCCTACTCACACATATGGGTTACTTGCTCACACACCACATGGAGCAAGTTATGCACGGGTTTCATACTAAACCCAAAACCTGATCAGATCATTATTTGCTGTAGAGAAGGGTGAATTTGGAATTGAACCATTTCCCAGAGTCATGCGGGTTTGATCTATGGCAGTCCAGCATCCAGCGAGGTTTGGTGAGGAAATGATAAGAGCTGAAGAAAGAGGGAGATGGAGAGACAGAGGCAGTAGGAAGGAGGCCCATTTTTTGATTTCCCTCCTGTGTATAAGCATTATATATTCTATGAGATTTATTCTCTAAGGCTTTCTTTGGGGGAGTCTAGTTTACTGGGAAGTCTATTTGTCTGCCCGACTGTCCCTGATTCCAGCTGGCATGTGCATGTATGTATGCAGCAGATTGAATTTCATTTATGCACAGATTGGAAGTTTGGTCCAATCTCGCAGGCAGAGCTGCTCTGGAGGCAGAAAATCTCATTGGTTCAGTTAAACCTCAAAGAACCAGAGACTTTCTGAGAAGTTAGCCTTAAGTGTATTGAAATGGAAGAAAGAGGGAATTTCAAGAAAGTGAAGCACTTACTGACACTGAAAAAAAAATAGTCTAGCTACACTCAGGGGTCTAGGTTTGCTACGTAACTGTTTTTCCTATTTCCAAAATAATAGCTGTTTGCTTTCGAGCCTGCTTATTGTGTAATGCCCAAATAAACAGTGATGGGCATTAACACATTATAGTAATGCTTAACGGTGATGTTATTACATTCTTCAGTAATAGGTAATAACATTACGGTTATCAATGCTACTAATGCTGGATAAACATGACTTTTATGACAGACTGGTGTATAACATGATAGCTCTTAACTTTGGCTGAGGTTGGGTGAGCTGGCTGACTTCCACCGAAAGAGGAGGAATGTGTTGTTTTCACAGCATTCTCGGTGTTACATTAACAATGGCTCTGTTCTATCAGTAAGCCAGGACAGTGAGCCAGTGAGCGGCCATGAACAACAAGACCCTGGAACTAAAGCTTCTAAATGTTATTTAGCAATCATTCGTTTCACAATTTACACTTTTACTTTTCCTACTGTGACATGTCAAAATGTCTTCCTAAAAAGGCCTATATGTATACTCAAACATGCTAACTAGCCACCTTTACATTTAGCCCATTCTCAGAACAAGTCGTCAAATATCAACGCTTTGTCACGTACATACAGATGCACACGGCAGCCTTTAGCATTTGTATGAGCCACACTGGGCTGCCACAACAGCCTTTCTGCCAGAAAGCCTTTTCAACATGTGGTTAAATTATAAAACAGTCCCATTTTGGTTAAAGACCAAAACAACTTGGTTAGGTTTAGGTCACATGGTGCATTTAACGTAACTTCAAACTTAAAATAAGTCAACATTTACTTTTGGTTTCACATGGGAGAGTATCCCTGGGTGGAACACTAATCCTGGTCTCCTGGGTGTAAGTCCTGAGTTTGTTTGAGCCATCCATTCATCCTCCAGGTGGAGACTTTCTCACTTTTTATTCTATTTTCTACATATTCTATACTTGGATGGGTTTCATTGTAGCTCAGTGCGTCTGTATGAGACGCTGAGGGGCGTGACAAATCGTTGGTATTTGACCATATTGTGAATGAGGACGGCTGGTACCTTTGGGTATTGCCAGGGTTTTATTCAGAAATGGACGGTGTGTAAACCCTGTGGTTTTAACATGAGGACTCGCCATCTGGGGCGGTCGTTGGGGATAGATGGTCAGTGAATAGAGCCTGGGAGGTTGCTTGATAGACCACAATATGTTGGTTTCTATTTCTAAATGAACAAATGTGTAGCAGACCATGCAAAGTCA